TCAGTCTAGTTGTGGAGGACGTCGCTTCACTGGCCCATGTTGGTATTATCATTGCGCTCTTCCCGGGTGAGGCAGATCAGTCGCCAGCCTCTGGATGGCCGCTCACAGCGGCTCCACAGCTCACAAAAGCGCATGCCAGCTGCCAGCCAGCCCCACTGCAGCCCAGCTCCAGGTTGAGCTGTTGTTCACCATCTTAGTTGTAGAGGGCACAGCGTCACTGGCCCTCATGTGGGATCCAAACCGGGGCCCTGCTGCTCAGAGCTAGCGTCCCAAGCCAACTCCTAACCACTTGGCCGGCCCATATTTCCACTTTTTTTTCCCATTTTCATCCTATTGAGTTTGAAGTAGCAATTGAAGTGTCAAATGGAATTCTTGGGATTTTGGGACTGGAGGTTGAGGTAGAGTTGAGAGCTAGAGGTAGTAGGTTTCCTTAAAGGATGAAATTAAGTACAGTAGTCCCCACTTTATCTGCGGTTTTATTTTCCATGTTTCAGTTCCCTGCAGTCAACCGTGGTTTAGAAATATTAAATGGAAAATTCCAGAAATAACAATTCATAAGTTTTAAATTGCACACCATTCTGAGTACCATGATGAAATCTCGGACCATGCTGCTCTTTCCCACCCCAGATGTGAAGTATCCCTTTGTCCAGCGTATTCACACTGTGTACACTACCTACCTAGCAGTCACTTAGCAACTGTCTTAGTTACCAGATACACTATTAGAGAGAGACTACATTCACATAACTTTTATTATAGGATATTGTTATAATTATTCTATTTTATTATTGTTAATTTCTTACTGTGACTCATTTATAAATTAAACATAGTATTATAGGTATGTATGTACAGGAAAAAATAGTGTATGTAGGGTTCAGTACTGTCTGTGGTTTCAGGAATCCACTGAAGGTCTTGGAATATATTCCCCATGCATAAAGGGGGGCTTTTGTAAATCAGAGTAAGGTGGGGAAGGAGCTGTTATCTCAGATCCAGAGCAAAGTAGAGGGGCTTTTTTTTTCCTTATTAAATAAAGAGCAAACACACATCTTCCTGGATGACAGGAGGAAAGACAGATTCAGGATTTCCTGTTTTGTTCATAATAGGAAAAAAACTGCTAAGGATCCTGTGGTAGGTCAGGTTCCCTAGAAGTGGCAGCTGAGACAGGGAATTTGTTTAAGCGCATTGTTTCAGGAGTGCTTGAGAAGGGGAGTGAACGAAGCAGGATAGAGCAGGGTGAAGAATCTGGCGAGGATAAAGGATTGGGGAGCAGCGAAGGAGATTTGCTAAGACCACAGAGCATGGGTTCTTAGTATCCTAGGACTCATTTGATCCACATAGCAAAGGTAGAGTTTTTGTAGCTGAGGACATGATTTTATGATCAGTAATTTGGTACATTTACTCGTATTAGTACCTTTGGGTAAATGATGCTACCTTCCCTATGTCGCTACCTTACCTGACCGTGTGTCACCATGTCAGCATGGTAATATTCCTGGGGGACCTATTATTTTGTTCACATCTGTACAGAGTTCAAGCTATTTGTGCATATTAAGGAAGAATATTGGGAATGAATTCCTTTTATTTATATTCATCCTTATCTGTAAGTGAATGGCAGGTTTCCCTTGGAATATCTGTTCTCTTGGTTTCAACCATCATCATGATGTGGATGTCTCTCACATCTTTGTCTCCCAATCTTCTCATCTGGCCTACTCAGCATCATTTTTGTATCTCTCTCCCTATCCCACAATGATTTGTACATGACAGGTGGCTCATAAATATTACTCACACTTCAGTCAGGCTGGTCTCTTTATTATTAGTGAGGTATTGTGAAATTGAACAAATGATTTGGAGCTTAACGTTTTTTGACACTAAACTGGGCGAGTTACTTACCCTGTCTGAGCTTCAGTTTTCTTGTCTGCACTAGGAGTGGTAATACTATAGCATAGGAATGTTGGAAAAATGAAGTGAAAGAGTTCACTTTAAGCACAAAGTCCAATGCCTGAAAAGTGATAGGTACCTGGTAAATGTTGGTTGTTTCTCCTTTATGTTCAATGTTTAAAATATTTAATTTATCTACTATGATTCCAATTTTTCAGGCCTATTGCTTAATTTAACCTATTTGGTTTTTACCACATTCATCACACATAATTCTGATAACCTAGAGTAAGAAGTTTCTTGAAAGAGCTGGATGGGCCGGCCGAGTGGCATGATGGTTAAGAACTGTCTTGGGATGCCAGAGGGCCCTGGTTTGGATCCCACATATGAGGGCCAGTGACACTGCCCTCTACAGCTAAGATGCTGAACAACAGCTCGACCTGGAGCTGGGCTGCCGTGAGTCGCCAGCGACAATGTAGGCTGCAGCCACTGCTGCAGTAGGGTGCCATGGGCTACTGTGTGTAGCCAGCAGCCAGCAAGAGCGGCCATCCAGAAGTTGGCAACTGATCTGCCTCGCCCAGGAAGAGCGCAAGGATGGTGCCAACTTGGGCCAGTGAAGCAACGTCCTCCACAACTAGACTGAAGAACAAAAGGACAGCAACTTGTCTGTTCCCCTTCCCCCAATTCCTCAATAAAAATTTTTAAAAAAAAAAAAAGGAAGAGCTGAAATACCTCAGAAGGAATATTACTTGCCTAATCCAATAGAACTTTGCTGACTATGATTCTCGATCAAGGTTTTATTTAAAAAAAAATTAGGGGAGAAGGGTAGATAAGGCAAGGTTGGTTATAATGCTGTTTTTTAAAAAAATCAATATATTAAGACTTTTTGAGTAAAATTGATATCTGAAGATTCGCACTTGGAATGTAAAAAATGTTTCACCTTTAACATTGAATTCTTAAGCAGAGAACAACAGTATGCCTCTTTTCCCTGGTATTTCTGTGCATCTATATTGTATTAGGAGCTCTGGGAGAGTCAAAGGCATAAAATAATGTTTTTGTATTTCCAAGTGGTTAGCGCATTCTCAGTAATGATTTGTACTTTTTATTTCAATTGATTACTTGTGAACTATTATGAGTTTTGTACTCATGTCCTCATTTGATTTGTTTTTTTGCATGGTTCTCAAAAAGCTACTATCAACTACATGGTAAGGGTAGAGGGACATTACATCTGGAGGGTAACTGAATATGCTAAGTAGTTTGCATGTCTGTATTGTCAAAGTAAGAGTATGAAATGAGACATAAGAATAAATGGTAACCCAAAAGGTGGAAACTATCTAAATGGATATAAACAAATCACCAGACAATGGGTATTATTCAGTCCTAAAAAGGAATGTAGTGCTGATACAAACTATAACATGGATAAGCCTTGAAAACATTATGAGATGTGGAAGAAGTCGGACACAAAGGCCACATGTTATATGATTATATTTGTGTGACATATCCAGAACTGGCCAGTCCTAGAGACAGAATGAGAATAGAGGTTATAAGGGGCTGGAGGTGGGAGGGGGAGGATGAGGAATTATATTTATTGGGTACAGAGTTTCTGTTGGGGATTATGAAAATTTTCTGGAAATGGATAGTGGTGATGATTGCATAACATTGTAAATATACGTAAGGCTGCTGAATTGTCTACTATAAAATAAGTCAAATAGTAAATTTTATGTTTTGTGTATTTACTTCAATTTAAAAAACAATAAGTGGTGAGGGGCTTGGAGGTCATTATAATAAGCCTCTTGTGTTTTTTTTTTTTTTCTGTACAGGAGCCATGGATAACAGAGGCTTTCAGCAGGGGAGTTTCAATAACTTTCGGAGCAGCTCCAGTGATGAAGACTTGATGGACATACCAGGGACAGCTATGGATTTCTCCATGAGAGATGATGTTCCTCCCTTAGATGGAGAAATGGAAGGTATCATTACTGCTGACAACAATTTATCTTTAAAAAAATATTTTAGTGTACATATAGTAAACTTCATTTATTTTCTGGTACACAGTCTGGAGTTTTAACGCATGCATGGAGTCTTGTTTCCACCACCACCGACAGGATACACAACAGTTGAACACCCCAAAGTATCTCCTCTTGCAATCCCTTTGCAGTCAGATCTCCCTACCCCACCCCCTGGTAACCACTGATCCATTTCTCTGTCCCTATAGTTTTTCCTTTTTGAGAATGTCATATAAAAATGGAGTCACATCATATGTTACCTTTTGAGACTCTTCATTTACTCAGCTTAATGCCTTAGAGATTTATCCAAGTTGTTCATTCCTTTTTGTTGTTGAGTAGTATACTATGGAGTGGGGTTGCTGGGTTGATGGTAAACACATGTGGAACTTATAAGAAACTGCCAGACTATGTTCCAGAGTGGCTGTACCATTTTGCACTTGAACTAGCTATGCATGATTGTTCCACTTGTTCCGCATCCTTGACAGCTCTTGGTATGTTCCATAATTTTTATTTTAGCCATTCTAAAGGTATGTGGTGTTCTCTCTTCATGGGTTTAACTTAATTTCCATAATGACTTATGATGTGGACCTTCCTTTTATGTGCTTATTTGCCAAGCTTATACCCTCTTTGATGAAATGTCTGTTCAAATCCTTTCTTCTTTTTATAATTGGGTTTTTGTTTTTAGTATCTGGAATGCACTTATAAAATGAGAATTCCCTTCATCTGTTATTTGGCTATCCTGTAATGTCATTCTGCGTACAAGTTCACAGTATAGCTAGCTGTACCATAGTTTATTTAACCAAGCTTCTATTGGTGCACATTTCAGTTGTCTCTACTCTTGCTATTACAAACAGTACTGCAATGAGCAGTCTTGTGTGTGTGTGCGTGCATGTGTGTGTGTGTACACAGGCATCTTTTAAGTATATGAAAACGTGTCTGTATCATGAGTGTCTAAGACTGCTTATTTTCCCACAGCCTTGCTGGTGCTAAATCTTATAATTCTTTTTTTCATCTTTACAATATTATAGGTAAAACAAATAAATAAATACACCCCCATTATTTTAGATTTTACTTTTTAAACCTAATTAATGACGTTGAGCATATTTTCATGTTTACTAACCATTTAAATTTCTTTTTTCTGGAAGTTCCCTGTTCATATGATATTATTAATCTTTTGTCTAATGTAGGTTAAATATATTTTTTCCATTTCTGTTTTTTTTAAATATTTAAATATTTAAATTTAAAAAATATTTAAAATTTTTATATAGCTAGGTATATCACCCTTTTATTTTGTGAATTCCGAGTTTCTTAATGTAATTAGAAAGGACTGCATCACTTTAAGATTAAATTTGTATAATTACTTAAAACTGTCTGGTTCTTTAATTGACTGGTATTGCCATTCTCAGAGTAAAGTCAGAGGACCAGAAACTACTGTCAGAATTCATTATTTCGCATATTTGTTTTAAGGACATATGGCATTGCAGATACTTGGCTAGGTTCTGGGAATTAGCAAGCCTTTAAGGCACCATGGCTGCCTTCATGGAAGCTGATTCTAGCTAGCTAAATAGACACATAGGGACTTATGATAGGACCTGTCCCTTAGAGTCATTTTCAGGGTTACATGGCACAATATAAAGTGCTTTAACTGTACCTGGAATCAAGTTAATGCTCAATAAATGTTAATTATTATTTTATTTCTTTTATTACCCTATAAGTGTTATAGCTCTTATAAGAACTTAGCAGAAGACTCATTGTGTATGTGTGTGTGTGTGTGTGTGTGTGTGTGTGTGTGTGTAGGAATGGAAAGATTTCATGTGTTTGAGAAGGGCCTTGAAACATTAGTTATTTGGTAGGAAGAAGAGCATTCTAGGCAGAAAGCAAGCTTTTATAGAGATAGCAACAGGCATAATATACAGAAAAAAGGCAGAATGTAAGCCCAGATAAGTAAATTGGGGCCTTGAATGTCATGTTGAGAAGTTTGTATTAATTGTATTGTCTCTGTAAGGACAAACTCCTTCACCCATTCATTCACCACAAAATTTTTGAGCACCTGTATGAACCAGGCCCTCTTGTATGCATGGGGATACACTGTGTAATTAAATAAGATTAAAGATGACCTGGAATTTAGATCTAGTTGGGTAAATGAGTAAACAGATTACCTAGTTAATTACCCATTGTGATAAATATTAGGATGGAAATAAACAGAATGACAATTGAAGATAACTGAGGAATATCAGTAGTTAGGAAGGTCAGGGAAGGCCTCTTTGAAGAGGTGACCAACTTGTGATGAACAGACTAGTATGAAAACCGCAGGTTCAAAAGGATAACAAGAAATTTGCCTAGTAAAGGAATCTCAGGAAAGCAACAGTAGAAGAGAGCCCCTGAATTTAAAGTTCATAAAAGAAAGGTACTCACAGTTTGCTATGTAGTGGTTTTTCATATTCGCCTATTTCTATAAAAGGGACACATGTTTGTACATCACTTCCACTTACATGTAGGTATAACCATAGTGAGTCAGTTATAACAATCACAAGCTCTAGTGAATTGGTCGGTTAGGACTTAAACTGGCTACCTCTTCTTAAGCCTTCTGGCTAAACCATAGTGGTTTAGCTTAGTCAACATCATTGCTTCTGAAAGAAAGTGATTTCAAATAGCATTTCGGTCACCAAAGTACTTTTTTTTAGCTGAGCCATCCTGCTACCTGTTGGCAGCCCAGCAGCAGCTCAGCTCGGGCCAGGAATCGAACTGCTAGTTGGTCAGAGCTCACACTCGTGAGCAAGCTCTTAACCAACTGAGCCACTCGGCTGGCCCACCAAAGTACTTTTGTATGTTCACGTTGCTCTTAGTAGGTGACTGGGGCAAGCGAGTATCTATTTTTCTCTTTTCTTTTTAAGGTTTTTTAAGTTTTTATTTTTTTAGTTTCAGGTATACAGAGCAACATAATAGTTAGACATTTACACCCCTCACAAAGTGTTAACCCCTCCCCCAATCTGCTACCCCTCTGACATCTTATATAACTGTGACAATACCATTGACTATCTTCCTCATGCTATACTCCACCTCCCATGACTCTCTCTCTCTCTCTCTCTCTCTCTCTATATATATATATATATATATATATATATATATATTTACGGTTGACATACAATATTATTCTACTTCAGCTTTAGTTGTACAGGGCATTGGTCAGGCATCTACACAGTCTATGAAGTGATCCCCTGATAAGTCCAGTACCCATCTGGCACCCTACATAATCTTTACAACATTGTTGATTATATTCCTCATACTGTATTTCATATCCCTATGACTATATTGTATGTACTAATTTACACTTTCTAATCCCTTCACCTTCTCTGCCATCCCCTCCCCCCATCCCATCTAGCAACCAACAGGTTTTATTTTTCTATATCTCCAAGTCTGTTTCTGTTTTGTTTGCTCATTTATTCTGTGTTGTTCCCTTTTAATGGACTAGAAAACAGAGACAGACAAGATTTTGGTATTGCCTGTGATTGTAGAGCGTGTTGTTACATGAGAAGTCCTACACCACTTTTCATTAGCCTTTACAGGAGAATGACTGCTTATGGTTTACAAGTTCTGACCATAAAATATTGAGGCTACTTTCCATGAGCCACACACGAAAATCAGTTCAGTCACTATACTCTGTAGTGATGTAATTTTCTTGCTTTGCTTTTTAATTGTTCTTACTGTATTTAATATTTTCACATGGGATTTCCTAATAAAAACAACAACAAAAAAGGTCATAAAGTCCTTGATATTTGGTGGTGAAACTGTGCATAAAATATTGCATTTTGTACCAGGCACAATAGCACGTACTAAAAAGATTAGTTAAAAGGAGCTTGAAAGGCAGTAGAAGTGGTTCTTGTTTTCCAGATGGCTAGAGGGATTGATTTATGAGGAATGAATAAATAAATTATTCATGGCATGGTTAAATGCATCTGAGGTAGTGTTATAGTAGTCTGTAAATTAGAGGAAACATAAACATGGAGATCTGAAAGAAGGGGGGAGGGAAGAAAATAGAAAAAGGGTTTGAGTAACGAAAAATTTCAGAGCTGTTCTCATAGTCCATCTGTTCTCACTTGCCTGCCTCTGCAACCTAGACCTCATGGTCAACCATTCATTCATTCATTCATTTATTCATTCATTCAGTATTTACGGAGCACCCAGATATGAACCCAGCACTGTGTTGTTTTAGTAATGCTCTTCGCGTCCCTTCTTCCCCTCACCTCCTTGTCTTTCTACCTAGCTACCTTGCTGCTACTCTCTAATTGTTGAATGAGGAGACATTCCTGACAGAGAGCAACAGAGCTAAAGGCACAGCAGTGTGACAAAGTCTTTTCTATTCAACAAACACAGAGTCTGCAGGTCAGAGGTCAGAGGCTCCTGGGGTGAGGATGGTGGCAGTTGGAGCTGGGGGGAGGCGAGCAGGGGATAAGATGGGAGATATACTTAGAAATCTAGGTGGGGTCCAGATTATGTTTGCTTTTGGACCTTATCTTGTAAGCAAGTTGTCATTAAAAGATTTAAAAACAGTAATGATATGATCGAATTTGTGTTCTAGAGAATTTATGGCAGTGTGGAGGATGGATTCAGGGGAACAGTAGGTTGGAGACTGGAAGACCAGTTAAACCATTATTATTTTTTTTAATCTAGACAAAAGATCAAAGCCTTGAATTAAGACAACAGAAATGGAGAGAAGGACTAAGTTCTAGAGAAATTTCAGAGGTGGGATGAATAGGACCAATTAGATATGGGGAATAAACTAATAGAGAGTCATGGGAGACTTCAAAGCCCAGGGGGAATATAATAGCAGTCCGTGGCCCCCTGGCATGTGACAGCGTGCCCAGACCACCCCCATGGGCCTCAGCATAACCTCCCAATGTCCCAGGGAAGGTAAAGCAGTTTTTTTAAATGGTAAACATGATGGTGCATGAAATCCACCAAAG